ACTGCAGGCCTCACTTGCCTCAATTAAGGTCAGTGTTCATGATTCAACAATAAGAAAGAGACTGGGCAAAAACGGCATCCATGGGAGAGTTCCAAGGCAAAATCCACTGCTGACCAAAAAGAATACAAAGGCTCGTCTCCCATTCGCCAAAAAATATCTTGATTATCCCCAAGACTTTTGGGCAAATATTCTGTGGACTGATGAGACAAAAGTTGAACTTTTTGGAAGGTGTGTGTCCCGTTACATCTGGTGTAAAACCAACACAGCATTTCATAAAAAGAACATCATACCAACAGTCAAACATGGTGGTGGTAGTGTGATGATCTGGGGCTGCTTTGCAGCTTCAGGACCTGGACGACTTGCCATAATTGACGGAACCATGAATTCTGCTCTCTATCAGAAAATCCTGAAGGAGAATGTCCAGCCGTCAGTTTGTGACCTCAAGTTCAAGCGCACTTGGATCAGTGATCCCAAACACACCAGCAAGTTCACCTCTGAATGGCTCAAGAAAAACTAAATTAAGGTTTTGGAGTGGCCAAATCAAAGTCCAGACTTAAATCCGATTGAGATGCTTAAGCAGGCCATTCATGCTCGAAAACCCTCCAATGTGGCTGAATTAAAACAATTCTGCAAAGAAGAGTGGGCCAAAATTCCTCCACAGCGATGTGAAAGACTCGCTGCCAGTTAACGCAAACACTTGATTTCAGTTGTTGCTGCAAAGTGTGGCACAACCAGTTATTAGATTTAGGGGGCAATTACTTTTTCACGTAGTGCCAGGCAGGTTTGAACAGCTTTTTTCCCTTAATAAATGAAATCATTATTTCCTCAGGTTATCTTTGAGTAATATAAAAATTTGTTTGATGATCTGAATCATTCAAGTGTGACAAATATGCAAACAATTTAAATACCAGAGGGGGGCAAAGACTTTTTCACACCACTGGTGGTGTATATGTATATACACCACCAGAATATACATATATACACAAAAAAAAAAAAAAAAAAAAAAAAAAAAAAAAAATATATATATATTTATTTTTTTTTTTTTTTTTTTTTTTTCTTTGGCACAAACTCCAGAAACTCCTTAGGGAAAATAAATATAAATGATGATAAATGAATCCATCGTTGATTTACAAAACAGACATAGATTGGGACTGCAGATTATTTAATCTTGGACGAATATGATGAGAAATCTTTTTGTATTGAGATCTGAGACATTTTGTTGCAGAATTGGAGTTTTGGCAAATCTAAGCAAAGTCTGAGAGATTACTAAGACTTTTCTCTGGAGAAGTCAGTCTAAGCAGCAGAATACTTGAGCAAAATTCAATTAGCTTTCTCATTGCTGTTTAGGAAAAAATACATTTTTAGATTGCATTCCCTGCAGGTGTATTCAGACACCAAATTTGGGTAAACCATATCATCTGTGAAGAATGCGGCATCATCTTTTATAAGAACTAATCCCTTTAGAAGCTCTGAACAGTTTGTTCTTTGCTTTGTGGAGTTTTTGACTTTGTGTGGATCCAGATGCTTATTTGGTCAAAAGCCTGTTTCAGATTAGGTTTATACTCCGTTTAAAAAGAAAAGTTCATCCAAAAATGAAAATTACCACCATTTGCTCAACCTCATGTCACTCCAAACCTAAATGACCTGCTTTCAATGGAACTCAATAGGAATTTTTGGAATTTCGAAATCCATGGAATTTTTGAGGAAAATACTGACAGCTCTTTTTTTCATAAAGCTCCAAAATGACAACAATGCACCACCATACATGGACTACATAAACTAATGATAAACGTGAATAAGGATTAACAGTACTTCTACAGCATTTATTAATCTTAGTTGATAATCTTGCATATCTAATGTTAACAAATGAGACCTTATTGTAAAGTGTTACTAATATTTTTTAACTCTCAATTTCTACCTGATAAAATATTTTAGAGCTTGGCATTACTGGAAAAATGTACAATCATCAAAAATACACCCCTCCCTTCATCTACAAGCAACCGCTACACACGCACACACACACACACACACATTAAACGGCGCTGACCTCACCCCTCGTGTGCAATGCCAGAGACGCAGAGTCTCTCTCTCTCTCTCCCCTGCTAGTTTCCTGGGTTTCGCCGCCCACTCTTCTCTCTCCTCCTCATATGACAGAGAAAGTTCTCTCCTCATGTAGTGAGAGCGCTGAGAAGCCTGCCAGTGTGCTTGTGAGCGCAGGGCTGAAGGAGAGCGAGAGGGGCATCAGCGGGTGATGGATCCGATCTCAATCACCGCCAGAATTTGCTTGCAACAGCTCCTTCAAACACCAGGACGGCTCTGATTTCCTCAGCAAACAGCTTTCTGAACACATTCACAGCCACACATACAAACACACACACACACAGGTGTGTGGCGCACGTTACCTCATATCTGTGCCAGAACAGGAATTGGGCTTTTTTTTGTGCGCTAGTTGGTCCTTTCCAGGGATATTGAAGGGACGAGCCAAGAAAAAGAAGTTTCGGTCTTCATCCCGGGTTTGTGTGTGTGTGTGTGATGTGTGTGTGAACGGGGCTCGCCATGCGTCCTCACAGGCTGACTCTGCTGCTCTGCTTTGGCTTTGCCCTGTGCCTCTGTCTAGCCGTGGCTCAGCAGCGCTCCGCCGTCGTCCGCGGGGGTTCGGAGCGGATCAAAGTGCTCTTCACCCCCACCATCTGCAGGCTGCGCTGCACGCAGGGACGCTGCACCAACTACTGCGAGCGTGGAAATGTCACCACTCTCTACAACAGCGAGCAGGCAGGACAGACGCCGCCTGGATCCGGCTTCAGAGTGTGTGAGTAAATGCACTTCATTGAGGGGCCCCGGCAGCATCCTGCAAGATAACACTGTTTAACCTCTGAATTGTTAGCCTAGGGGTCTGATTCACATTCTGTGTGTAAGGTTTCAAATCCTGATATACAGTAATACCTATATATCTAATAGCTATAAAATAAAAAAATAAAAAAATATCAATTACAAAAATTATGTAGGTTGGGTTTTGAACACTTCTATACTACAAGAACAACAACAACAACAACAACAATCAATGCATTATTAATATCATTAGTATCATTTGTATTATTATTATTATTATTATTATTATTATTATTATTACTGATGTTGTTGTTATTGTTCTTCTTCTTCTTGCTTAAATTGTTTTTTATTATTATAACTTAATTTATTATTAAATTATAGTTTTAATTAATTTATTTATTTTTAAAAAGTTACAACAACAACAACAATAATAATAATACTAATAAGATAAATACGTTTTTAGTGATTTATTTATTAAAAATACTTTAGAAAATTATATAGTAGGTTGGGATTTCTCTTCCAAGTTAAATTCACAATAATACATGATGATGATGATGATGATGATGATGATAAAGTAAACACAATTTTATTAATATAAAAATATGCATTTGTTTATTTATTTGTTTATTTAGAAATGTATATAGTATATTTGGATTTTTTTTTTTTAAGATTTAAGATTAAATTTGACAGGCTTTGATCTTGAAGAGCAGACATGATGGAATGATGGCAGTGTCACTGAAAACTCTGGGGAGGCTTGTGTCTCCAGTCTGAATGATGAATGCACACTTCTGCAGACAAACACACGCCTACATGTACATGCACAGACCCGCAGGTGTGTCAGACATTCATCTGAAGGTATTTACAAGCGCTGTGTGTTTGTGCTGAGGCGTGCGTCTGTTGTGTCTGCTGCTCTTCAGGAGCGAAAAACATGAGGAATGAATGAATGAGGTCCTCGCTGGACATTTGCATGGACGTTGCAGTGCAGTCTGGACTGAGAGGTGGAGGGCTTGACCTGGGCGTTCGCTCTAAGATGCTTATCAAATGTGTCTTCTGTCACTGTTTACTGTTTAGTTTTTCCATTCGTACAGTAGGTGTCATTGGTGATGTATGTTCAGTGGGCTCCAAAAGTCTGAGATTCACACTAAAAATATGGCATTCAAAATGTAATTTAAACAAAACTAGTTAAGATCCTCCACTATTTTTAGGTTACTAATAAAAAAAAAAGTATATGTTATTTACATTAATTCAAATTCACAAATTGCTATGCAGAGGATGTCATTTGTGAACCAAAAGGTTATTAAATAAGAAAAAGTGGAATCTATGAAAGCTTTTTTACTCTTACTGAATAGAGAATAAAAGGTGTGACTTTTTATCTCACAATTCAGATTTTGCTTGCATTTCTGAGTTCTGAAACTCTTTTCCGGCAATTCTGAGAAAAAAAAAGAGATATAAGTTGAGTTGCGAGATGTAAACACAGAACCATGTTAACTGACTATTGAGAGAAAAAAAGCGAGAATTGTGAGATAAAAAAAATCAATGTTTTTATTCTGCGTCTAAGAATTAGAAATTATTTGTGTTGTTTTTTTTCACCTCGCAAATTCTAAAATATTTTTTACATTTGTTTTTTCAGCGCAAGGGAATAAATAAATAAAAAAGTTAATTGTGACTTTTTATTTCACTTTTTTTATTTTATTATTCTTTGCATTTGTGAGTTTTATATCTCACATTTTTGACTGTTTATCTCTGAATTACAAGTTAATATTTCTCAGTTGTGAGTTAATAAGACTTTTTCTCAGAAATGAAAAGTCCATAAATGTCACTACAGGCACAAGGTTGGAAAGTCCAGTTCTGTCAAGTTTTCATATGCAGTTTTGTCAGAAATCATCTTGTGAGGTGGTGTTAGTTATTTAGATTTGCGTGCACCATGAGCCATGATGTTCAATTTGTGAACAAATGACTCTAATGTGCCGGTACGTTTTTAAAAAGTTCATCAAACAGCCTCGAAGGGTCTGTCTCAAAAACACCAAGCCCTCCCTGCCTTCCTCAGAGTCGTCTGCTAAGTGCATTTGAATCAGATTCACTAAATGAATCATTACTGAGTTCACAATTGACTCCACCATTGAACAATGAGTCAGTTTTTGGTGGTGTCCAATTCAAAATGAATGGTGAATATTTATAGTTTAGTTTTGCAGAAACTTGCATCAGTCTATTTGCATGTACTTAATGGTTGTTTACATGAAAATATGTAACTAAAGAGAGAGATGATTAATAAATAATTTTCTAAAAATATATATTAATAATTTATTATTTAAAAAATGGTGTAGAAATACTTTTCACTCAGAAATTTCACAAACAGTTACAAGGAAATGCAAGTAACATCGTATTTTCTCAGAAAACATACTCTGATAATCTTTGTTTTACAGTACTTACAGCTTCGAAAGATCTTTTTTTTACAGTGTATTTTAATAACATTTGTGTCCATTAGTGAGGTCTAACTGTAGAATTAAAGTTATAAATATTCTATTTTGGACATATGGCACACACTCAGCCAGAATTATTGAAACTTTTAAACAAGTTTATTTTAATACAACTAGAAAAACCATAGTAGCCTCTAAAAAAATGTCCTTCATCACAGCACAAGTAAGAAGCTCAATGAACTGAAGCACTCATTATTTTTCAGTTTGTATCTATAGATTTTAAAATAAAGATGAGTTAACAATGTATGTATGCATGCAGATGGGCTGAGCATCTGTGTCCGATCTGAGGCACGTGTTTGAAGGGCTGGTTATAAGTTTCCTCCAATAGCTGGCTGCGGGTTTTGGGCGAACAGAGAGTCGAACACGTGGTGCCAAATAAAAGCTTGCAATCCTTCAGCTGCTTTAGCTGAAATCAGTGAAGAGAGCGTGAAATGTACTTCCTGCCGTAAGAGAAATCAAGCAGCCGTTTCTTCTCGCTGCGTACATGCATGCATCTCTAAGGGATAATTAGTTTACCTGCAGTGGCCCTCAGGGGCCCTGAAACATCTGGACCGTGGCAGAGAGCCAGAGACTATCAGAGGCACTCACAGCATGTGTGAGAGTGTGTAAGAGTGTGTTATCGTACATGTACTGTACGTATGTGCGGATGCGTCGTGAAAGATTCAGCTTTCTAAACGGTTCAAATGTCGTCCTAGTTTTTTTACGATATGGAAAAATTGTTCCATGCAATCGTGCTTTGACATTAGTGGAAGTAAATGCATGTTTGATAATGGGTTGCAGAGATGTTTGTAATATTGTACAGTAAACTTTTGAACCCTGGTTTATGAGATAGACTTATGCAGGACTGGGGGGGGGGGAATACAGTCAGGGGGTCGCTAAAGGGTCAGTGCTAAATTTATGGTTACATTTTCATACTGACATTGAAAAGTGACTGTAAATGCATTTACAGTGTTAAAGAAGATTTCTGTTTCAAATAAATGATGTTATTTTGAACTTTCTATTTATTAAAGCATCCTTAAAAAATACTTTCAATTTACTGTCAAACAGCTTTCACTCTGAAATTGCTAGTACATTTCACAAATAATTCAATTTTTAGAATGATTTCTTACAGTGTAGTATCCTTCCAAAATCCTTTTTTACTAAATCTGCTAAAATGATAGTTAAACATTACTTAAAAACTTGAAAGTAAATATTTTTCAGTTAATGTTAAGCAAATGCCTCTCATGTATTTTCCAGAAATATTTTGTGATAATTTGCTTTATACAATGTACATATAAAAGCCTTCAATTCTGTTGTTTTATCAAAAGCATGTTATCTTTCTGATATGTGTGATATTTGTCTCACACAGTGCAAGTTGAGTCTTTATACAATAACAATATAAAGTGTTGCCTCTCAAACATTCTCATTAGTCAGCGAATCCGTATGTCAGACACACTGGCTATCGCCATTGAAATGAATTGATTTGCAGCTTTCTCTAGTCTATCTCAGAGCACAGCACACTAAGAGCACGCTTTAACAGCATGTGTCTTTAATTACCTCAAGATACCTTTGACTTGAGTGATGATGCAGTCAGCCTTGAAGTTCATAGACATGTGCCCAAAATGTGTGTGTATCTGCGTTGATACAAACCTTCTTCCAAACTTATTTTCATATAAAATAACTTGTATGTCTAATTTAAGACTTTAGTTTTAAACGCAATCCTAAACTGGTCTAGTCGAGTCTGGCAGGATCTCATTTCTTCATTTAAGCTGAAAGATGGCAGATACGCACAGTGCTTTTCTCTGAATGAATCTTTGAAGTGCAAATGAGACTTTCTCCTTGGACCTTCTCCAATGAAAATGGCTTTTTCTTCCATTCGTGTCCTGTCAAGAGTTTTATAATTTTGTTGTTTCAGTCAAGCAGCGTATTCCTGGCCTTTCTTCATTTCAAAAGAATTTTATTTACATATTTCCCCCCTCGCTGAAAGTGTAGATTTGGCATCCTGTTATCTGGATGGAGCCAATATTTATCCGAACCCTCGATGGTTTCAAAACAACAGGATATCTGTGGTCCAGAAATGAAGGTGGAAAGCTAGAAAATGAAAAGGTACTGGAGATTTCCAGCTTTAGTTTTTTGAAGTGTGAGGGTGTTGCCAAATGTTGATGAGCTGAAGAACAAGCTCTCATCCTGGTTCAAAAACCACCACGGTTCATTCATCTCCAAACGTACAAACCTCTGCCACATCATCTCCAAACAACGCCCAACCTCCCTCTCCCTCTCGTTCTCATTCACATCCATAGAATACAGTCAAGTACACTCTAAAAAATGCTGGGTTAAAAACAACCCAACGTGGGTTATTTGGCAACCCAGCGCTGGGTAAATACTGGACAGAACACATGCTGGGTTATTTTGACCCAGCTGGTTGGGTTAAATGTTTTTACCCAACATGCTGGGTTGTTTTAAGTCAGCTATTGTTTAAAAAGTATTATATTGCTGGCTTAAAATGGACTGGAAATTAAAAATC